GCCTCAGCTGGCTAGCGCACTGGGTTGTCGTGCGGTCTGGGGCGAGCTGTGGGCGTGTGCGTGAGTTTCAGGCGCGGCAGCGGCGGCCGGGTGGTGTTTTTAGCTCAGGTGGTATGCGCTGGTGCGCTGCTGGTGGGCGGGAGTGCAGATCTCCTCAGCTGGTTTCTTAGCTCGGCTCTCAGTTCTGCAGGTCGGGAGGAGCGGCGGATAATCCGCACTGCCGACCTTGCCTGGCTCCGCGGCTGGGCCGACTGAGACTGACGGCTCGGTGGTGCAATGTGTCCGGTCTGTCCCGTCCCGTTCCGCCTCGGCGGTGAGGGATGGGAACCGTGGCCTCACCGGATTTGTTTCGGCTCGACTGTCCCTTGGCTGAGGGCCTCTGGAGCTTATCCCAAAGACCGACCCTGGATGAGAGGCTTGACGACTTGACGCCTCAACACTATGAGTTATGAGGCAACGAGTAACGACCTTCACGCTGCAAATAGGACAACGTGTTGTTCTAATTTCGCGTGAAAGAATTCACGTGAGGTGCGAATTTCGACACTAGATGGTGGCATACATTGTTGGATGGACTTCATGTGACAGTGTTTGACCTAGAGTCTTCGTCTGGTTCAATGAACTGTGACCGAGCTTGGCGCTGATTCTGTTCAATCGTCTGTGCTGTTTGCGCTCACTGGAATATAAATGGTTTGCGGATGCGACGAAAGCGAAGAGCCTCTAATTTCGTCTTCCGGTGGGTAAATATCCTGGCCATTCATTCGTTCGCTCTTCGCCCAATCATTTCGCTATCATTCACTGAAGACGTGTATTAGTGGTCGTATCGTTTAGTGCTCTCAGCTCCCGGTGAGGTTTTCACGAGCACAGTCTGGGGTCCACTCTCTGACCATTACATCTGTGGGATTGAGAACGCGGCCTGCTTGGGGCGCTGGATGGAAACGTTTTAGTCTAGCAAAGCTCGTTGTCGCTTATAATCATCTGAAAATTAGACGTCGTCTTTGTCGTGTAAATTTATGTCCCTTATCCGGCGCTGTCGAGAATTCCCGCTGTTCCTCGGGGTTTTGGGTCCATCTGTGTCCGGCTGTCCCATTCCGTCCCGTCCCGCGTCTTTTCTGCCCGTCCTGCTCCTCTCCGTTCTAATTCGCTTCGTTCCAGAATTTACATCATGAACAGCAAACGGCAGTGTGTATGCAAGTATGGCCTTTGACTGGCCAACCTAAGATGACTCCACCATCCGGGAACTCCCCACAACACGCGTGAGCATCCCCCAGTGTCAGAATATTATTTAGCCATCGGGTCTAATCCTCCGGCGGAGACTCCACGTGTGGCCTCCCGGAGTCGCACGACGCATCCGTGCACCTACGGTGTTTTGCCTCTCCGCCACCGCGATCGGTTATACCGCTGTCCGCTAAAGAAGCAACTGTTTTCTTACGATCGCACGCGACCATAACAGCTCGATCGGCCATATTGGATTTGGCAGCTGCTGCTATCGGACGCTGGGACATAACGAGAAAGTTTTGAGCCTGACAACCTATGAAGTATGCTTATGCCATAGGTGCCATTGTAGTTGCCATGTGTTAAATTACATCTACCTTAGGTCCTGTTTCTTCTATGAGTAGAGGCTTGTTGTGCTCTGGTGCCTGTCCCTTTCAGTGAGAGGCAGCTCAGGCACGGCGTGCACTGCCTCTCGGCGTGGCTGAGGGCTCCAGGCGCCTCATTAGCTGCCAGACCGGCCACAGCTCATCCGTGCAGAGCTGCGGGTCTCCGTGCAGCGCTGCGGGTCTCTCTGTCTCCTTGGTGCACGCGAGGCTGGAACCGGCTGGTATCTATCGAGTTTCTCTGTGATGCTTTGATCAGAGTAAATACCGGGGCTGGTACCCTGTAGCAGAGAGCTTCCGCTTGATGTGCAGAACTGATTCGTGCCGACCGATTTCTATCAACTGGCTTTGATCATGTCGTTGATGATTTTCCGGGCACTTTTCTCTGTTAGCTGCCGAACGTCTCGTCATGAAGTGTAGTGTGTCTCGTCGATAGACGTCAATGCAAACGGGATACTTGGGACCGCTAGGCTGATTTTTTTTCCTATCGACGGCCGTGACGCTGACCGCCATTCTGCATAACTAGTAACGGCACCGGACCGGGCCCCATTTGCATGGCATTGGCCGGACCCACACGTCTGCCCAGCGACCCGAAACGGCAGGCAGCCGGACCGCGCCGTGTGCAATGTCTACCTGCATCCATATGGCGAAATAACAGACTGATGCGTCGTTGGACGACATGTCTTTGTATGGTTGAGAGAGTATTGGAATAAAATCAGCAGTCTCGACACACGCTTCTGCATGGCTGCTGCCAACTGGGTCACTGAGGAGTGAGGACTGAGGAGCGAGATGTCCCTGACTGGATTATCCACCCGGTCACCCTGATGGTTATAGATGGTCGTCACTTCTGCTCACCAGTCTGCTACTGCAGTGTCACTGTCGCTCTACCGTCGGACGGCCCTTCTCTGTGACCTTGGGGCTGACCTCGAGCCGCCCTCAGGCGCAGCTGGCACCGGAAACATTGGCCCGCATCGGCACTGTCTCAGTCCCTCGCCGGCTGACGACGGTCTGGGTAGCCCAGTGCTCCCAATGCGCACTGCCTAGGTTTGTCAAGAGCCAGAGACCAATGTGTGGTCGAGGGCTCGACATCGCGTCTCTGCAGGGGCCAGTTAGCTGCCTTTCAGCTGCCGCGCGGGGTGCATGAGTTGTGGGTAATGCCGCTGGTCAGGTGTGAGGCGTGTGAGTCGTGGTGTGAGTTGTCGGCTTCTCTGAGCCGCGCTGAGTCGGTCGCTGAGGCCGGAGACCGGTGTAAGATACGATGACCGAGTGAGAAAGCCGCCTGTTTTTGACCTGGCCGGTGACCGGCGCCCAGCGGCGGTAGGTCTGTTTTTGTCGTGATGTGAGTGGGATCAGGTCGGCTGTGCGACGGCCACCACCGGTCCACTGCCTCATAACTATACGACCGTGCGACGACGCCCGCCTCTGACGCAACTCTCTCACTAGCGCGGCGGGATCGCCGCCGGCTCACCATGATTGCCGCGTGGCGGCGATGGCGCCGCCCCCCGCCGGCATCGTCCCGGGCTCGATTCCTCTCTGAGGTCCGTACAGGGAGGTTGGGTGAGCGATCGGCCCGGGCTTGGCAGTCGCTCGCCGGGTGGGTGTGCGAGGCGAGGATTCTGAAAATGGGAAATGCCCTTCAGGATTACTAGTGATCGAGTCGGAAAAGATGGAAGAGCTGCTTTGTGATTTCTTTGAGTGGGAGGATTATTTTCTTCTGACTGACTGTAACTTCACTTTTCGGGCTGTTCATTGTAGGTTTTAACAGATTGCTACTGTTAGTGCAGGTCGGTGAACTTTCCCGCTCAGATTTTCCTTTTCCTCTAGCCCGGTAATTCCGACGGTCCCATTAACATACATTCCCTAACAGTTAACCGTATGTTTTCCAGTTCCATATTCTTTCCCTCTCGCTCTCCTCCACTCCCAGTCGACTGTTGTCGGTGGCTGGGTTGTTTACCTGTCGCCGGGGCGGCTCCGGAGACAGGCGGACATTGTCCTCCCGTCACCACCCGTCAGCACCCGTCACCGCCCGGGGACGCCATCTCCCGTCGTCTGCCTCGTCTCCGACTGTCTTGTCCGTCCGTCTGCCTCGATCCCCTATCATCCCGATCGTTTGACGACTGTATCCACCGTCTCTCCCGATCCTTTCGGTCGTGAGGCTTTATATGGCCCGATCCCCACCGCCGCGGCCAGCTCAGCTGGTAGCTGATTGATCCTTGCTTCAGGGCGAGCCATGGAGACGGATGCGTCCCCTTGAACACCGCGGGGTGCAAATTGGAACGTGCTGCTGTGGAGGTGAACGGTATGGGCTGGCTGATTAGACGAGTTCAGGCTTCAGCGTAGGTTGGTTGGTAGCTGAGCTGGCAACAGTGTCGTCAAGAGCATCGCCATCGAGACTCCAGTGGCATCAAGCGAATCAGTAGCAAGGAGTTGGCAGGTGGTTTGAGATGACTGGACTGCCGAAGACTAGCATCACTTGAAGTGATGCTAGTCTTCGCGCCGTCTCACGATCGCACGAGAACGATGGCGTGTGTGCGGCGCCTCAGCTCGTGCGGTGTGTGGGGGTGACGCCGGGGCCTCTCAGATACCTGTCGCTGTCTGAGGGCTCTCCGGACGTCACATGATCGCTGGATGGCCTTGATGGGGATTAGGGCCTCCTTCGAATGATGTTGTGGTCGCTCGGCTGAGCACGCTTTTTCGTGTCGAGTTAGCCAGTGGAGTAGAAACACATGCGATCAAAGAATGCGGGGTTTAGGGGAAGTTTGTTGCGGAAACTCGTATAAAGTAGTTTTGTTTACGTCATGCAGGGTGAAAGGTCATTAAAGACGTCGCTGGTTTTTCGACGGCAGTGGACTTTCTCTGTCATTCACCGTTTTTCTCCGTCTTTCTCCGTCGTGGCGGTTTTCTCCCATCTGGGTTATTTCATCAGTCGGTATAGAAGTAGTCTAGTAGGTATACCGATCGCGTGTCCAATAGTGGGAAGTCCAGAACGAAATCACTTGGCCACCAGACAAAACAAAACAACGTGTCCCTACCACCAGTAGTCTGTGTATGCGTCAGTTCGAGCTCGAAGGCCCTCAGCCGGCCCCGGGGTTTTTGGTCGTCTGATGTCTCTTGTTTTATGTGCATGTTTGTGTGTCATTCCATCTCGTCCCTCTTCTACTCTCCCTTCTCTCCCTCTCTTTCTCTCTTCCTCCCTCCTTCCCTCCCTTCCTCCCTCTCGCTCTCCTTTTCTTTTTATCCCTTTTCTTGTTTCTTTTTTAGTCTCCTTCCTTCGCTACCCTTCGCCTCTCCCTGTAACTGTCCACGTCCAGTGTCCACCTGTCCCTGTCCCTATTCTCCTATTTGCCTATAACTGTCCCTCTTCTCTTCCCCTGTCTCTGACCTCTCCCCTCTCTCCGCCGACAGACCGGACTTTTCTCGGCTGATGGCGCCGCCGCCGCTGCGGCGTTCCGGCGCCCCCCAGGTGCCGGCCCATGCCGTCACTGAGGACACGCCGGCTGACATGCTGACCGGACAGATGAGCCTCAGCGTGCTGCTGCCCGACGGGCGACACTGCCGGATGAACGTCGATAGAGGGTGAGTACCGGGTAACGGGCGAGTTTTGAGTGATCATTGTTTGTCTGTTAAGTTTCCAAGGTGCATCGACATATGGGTCGTTCTATGCGCCCATGCACCGAGTGACTAGCTACTACTGACGATGGACTAATCAGTGGGGTTTTCGACAGCTAGTTCAAGATTACCTGCGGCATCTACAGTAAGTACTGTTTAAGTACTGTGTTGCAAAAGTGTGGAAGAGCTGATGTTATCCTTTTGTGTCATATGAACCTCGACAATTTGACCAAAAGCGATGAATTGAAGATCTGTGCAGTGTGCACCTACCCTATCAGGCTGTAGTTGGTTGTCTCCACTCGTTGCTATGATCAGGATGCGGATACCACGCGCTGCGGCGTCAGTGTCATTGTCATTGTCGTGCAGTGCGGCGCGCCGGTCGTGAGTGCCGAGCCGTGCGGCGTGTGAGACGTTTGTCGCGGGAAGTGCCGACAGCGTGGGAGCCCGGCAGGCCCTCTGCTGAATGTCGTGCTCAGAGCGTTAGTAGCGCTATGTCCGCTCGGTGACTGGACGGGGAGCTCGATGTTCGGTGAACTTGGACGATGAATCGACAGAGTGCAAGATTCCGAGAGTGCCGAAAGAAAAACTGCTATGATTACACAAACTGAGCAATTTTCATTCGTTGCAATAGAGACAGAATATGTGCGGCAACTTGAAAATGAGCGCGATTGTGAAAGTAATGTAGGTATTTGGCTTACGCATTGGACAGATGCCTTGAAGAGCGGCGTTGTACATACGCGCCTGATCTATGGTCCGGCTGTCGTCACTTTGGCAGGCATGTGACCCTAACCGAATTCTCCAGTCCTGCCTTCCAAGTATGCTAACGAGGCATGCCTGACGCGTTACCGACTGCATCAGAACGGAGTCGCCTCCGCACCTGCACCGTTTCTGGGTCAGTGGGGCTGGTGGCGATGTGTGTTGCCACTGAGGCCCGTGCCGGTCGCCGTCGCCTCTCTGGTCTTGTCGCAGGCCATACGATGCTCTTGTTCAATGTTCGTCGGCGATACCTCTTGTTGGTCTTTATCTTTCTTGATGTCGTTAGCCCCGTCTTTGTTCGTACTCTAGTCTGTCGACACTGTCTCTCGGCTCTCGGCTTTGTGGCTGGTCTCGTACATCTACAATATGTATCAGTAATCCGTATTGCCTTCGCGCTTCTGTTGGTCCCACGCCGACCCAGGTCATCTCCCGTATGTATATCGGTCCATAGCGTTTTACGGCTCCTGCGTTGGGCTATATAGACCGGTCCGGCCCTGGTCCGGCTGCTCAGTATGGATGGCCGACCGAACGGCGGTCGGACGGCGTGGTACCGCGTGGGGCGCCGGCCGAGGTCACTGCCCTCCGTCCAAGAGACGGGGCGGGCTGGCGGCACACGGTCACTGGGGCACCGAGGACTGGGCGCCTGGGACGGAATGGAACACACAGGCCTGGGCGCCAGAGCGGGATTGAGGCACCGAGGACTGGCCGCCGGAGCGTATTGGAACACGTGCAACTGGGCGCCGGAGCTGGACTGCTGTACCGAGGACTGAAACGGCGCAAGATTGGAAAATCGAGAACTGGGTGCTGAACTCCAGGTGGGGCATGGAGAATCTGTTGGACCGAACCGTGGCATACGAAAAGTTCATGCTCCCAATGCATGTGACCCTAGTCAATATCACATCGATATTTGTGTCTTTCTAAGACGGTGTTAAAAGGTTTCTTGTCGCCAGTAAGGGTCATGCTATTTTTTTGTGCCGCGCTTTCTGTAAATGTGACCCAACTGTGGTGCAACATTTCACGTTTACTTTTGGACGTTTACGGGGTGGATACGTCGCGTAAAAATGATTTACGCTTTTAAGCTGTCCACCTGTGAGTTTTCTGTAAGCGACTAAAACCAGCAATCCAAATAATCCCAAATCTCTGGCTATTACGTTGCGATAGTATCGTCCGCTACCAGTTGTCGACAGACTGTGGGAAAATCAATGGAGTGGTCTTGTTCATTTCTACAAATACCTACAACCGTTGTGAAGCTGTAGAGGAAAACGCAGCGTTGTGTGCGGAGGGGACTGTTTGCTCCAATGAGGAAGGCTGTGTGGACTGTGGCCGCATTAGTGAACGCTTGTGGTGGTTCCTTTGCACTGATACTTCACGCACCGAATATTGTATGACATACATCATTGGTATGGGGTGCATTTGAGGCCCAATAGACATATGTTGCTTACGTTCTCTGTGACTTCCTGCTGACCTGTGTCGTTGACCTCTGTGACCTGTTTCTGACCTGTTGTACCAACCTTTGTGACCTCTTTGACCGACCTGTGGTACTGATCTCTGTGACTTCCCACTGACCTGTGATCTCCCACTGACCTCTTATGACCTTTCGTTGACCTGTATGTCTTCCCCTCTCCCGCAGGACGCCCATGATGGACCTGCTGATCCAGGTGGCCACAGCCAATAAGATCAGTCCGGGCGGTCACGTGATCCAGGTCATCTCGGACCGCAGCCACAGCTGCCTCAGCTACAAGCCCAGCACACCGATCGGTATGTAATGAAGCATACACCACCCAAAGCCACTGCTGTTCGTGCGCTACTCGGTAGGACACCTGATATGGTGTTGTATACGATTTGGGTAAACAGAAGTGCGGTTGGGTAGACCTAGATGGTACGATGACGACCTTGGATTAGATTTAAACCTCTACAGCGGTTTGGTCTTGGGTGTAAAAGTCGCTTATCGGACACCTGTCGCCACTTGTATTTTAGTGAACGGGGAGCTTATGATTTTTACTCGCGCTGAGCCGTTCATTTTTCGGTTCTGATGCGTTTTGAGGGACCGGCTTCGATTGGACGCTGTTTTCGTCCAATGGATTCAGAGTCGGATTACGTCATTCCTGGGGTTATGTCAGTGAGTGTGGTGACGTCACACCACTCCATCATGCCCGGACTGACGCCGGCCATTGATGCCTCCGTCGTAGAGAGGTGACTGCGTCTGGCGACTTTGTTCGTTGTTCTGAGGGGCCCTCGACCTTCTCACAAGAGGCCCTTCTCTGGTATTGCCGCTAGCTACGTGCGCTGGGTGTCTCGCATAACTCCCCTGTTGGGAGTTTACACTCCTCTCCACCGCTCTGCCACTCCACTCCATTGCACTAGCCTCGGGCTATGAGTATAGGGTCAATTGGCGAGGCAAGTGTCATAACCTTGCCATCGGTCATATCATCCGTCAGTCCATCAGACAAGTTTATGCCATCGAGAGACGGAAAGTCTGAGTGGCTGATCCAGGGGGGCGACACGGCTATTCGCGCAATGTATTCAGTTATGGGCCGCGCGGGGCCTCGGGATGACGCGGCTGGAGGCAACTGCTCAGCGCGCTAGGATACTTCTGGCGGGGCCGGGCGCTGAACGGTGTGCAATGAATGAGTTATGGGCGGGCAGACAGAGATGAGGTATTGAATTTTAATTGAAATCAGCAATCGGGTGGGGAAGGAGAACGTTTCTAATCGAGCTTAGGCCGGGAAAGCCGAAAATGTCACGATCGGCTCAAAGCTGCGTCAGGGCCGGGTGCCGTACCATGTGTAGTATATTTAGGCGGGCAGACAGAGATGAGTTATTGGATATAAATTCACCTTACCATCGGTTTCTGGTGGTGTTTGAAGACGTTTTTAGTTCAGCTCGGGGTGTGGCAACCCACTGGCGGATCCAGGGGAAGGCATTTGGGGCAAATGTCTTCCCCCACAACCGGGGCAGCGCCCGAAATCGCTTTTGGAGGATAAAAGAAAACTTCACAACTTTTCTTAGGAAATGATGGTTAATCACACTGCACAGCAGTACGCAAGGAATCGAAATCCGAATTTTTAAATTAATTCGGAGAAACCTTTTTTGGGTAAGCCTCCGCAGCTTGTCCAACACCGCTTCCTGGATCCGCCAGTTATGAATAAGTCACGGTCGATACCGAGCTTCGGCGGGACCAGGCGCTGTATTACGTTGTACCTACAAGGAAGAGGTGAACAGACACCTAACCCCACATCCTACTGCTATAGGTACCCGTGCTTCTGTGGGTGAAACACTGAAGCATCACTGAATCCCACAGGACCTGCGAGTCGACGAGGTGGCCGCTTTGGCCGCCGGGTACTGCAGCTCCCTGGAGTTGCCTGGGACCGATGGTAAAACCAAGATTCGGTAAAACAACAGCTCCGGGGTGCCCCTATCCTATGGGCCGTAGTAATTAGTGAATTCCCGTAATGTAGAGATCATATCCTCAATAATCTCCATTAAGATTTTATAGTCCTAGACAATATGACAGACCAATTATGCTTGCCTACGTTCAGTTCAGGCATTACCTCTGATGGTTATACGCCCATGAGTACAACATGTGTTCGGACGGGGTGATCTTTCTACAATGTGCATTGTGCGCACCATCCATGGGCCTAGGATGCATCGAGGTTTAAAAGAATGCAGTCTGTAAATCAATCAACATAACAATGGTGGTATGCATCCACATTAAAATATCTCCCCCGCTCCCGCAGCGTTCCAACGCCCCTCCGTTATGCATTCGCCTTATGTGTCCGCCGAGCCGGCTTGCCTCCAATGACGTCATCGGCCGGCCGGCGGCGTTCAAGGTCAAACGGCTGGTGTCCTTACCTGGAGTTCTATAGCCTTGGGCTGATCACTGATCATCCTAGCCCCGTCCGACTGCAGGGTCATCTGCATGAACCCTATGACTCCCTCCGCGGCGCCTCGGTAGCCATTGCGCCAATTGAAGCGCGGTTAGCGGTAATGTGGCGCGATGAGACAGAAAGGATGCTGATCAATTCTGGCATGCGAGCTGTGACCGCCAGAGGGCACGGCGCAGTATCTTCCGTTTGGTTTGGATCTGGTCTTGGTGCAGTTTGCCTCTGCTCCTATACTTTTTGAATATGTTCTGAGAGGAGATTTCGATCGTGCTTACATAACTGTGCGATAGTTCGTACATCCTGGCCGGGACGTCTTGCATGGACTTTTTATGCCCAAATTACCTCGATGGGCATTGGAGGCTCATAGTTCTAGTTAGAGAGCATCAGTCTTATCATCCTCCCATGTCCGATGGCACCACGCGCCGCCTCACACGCTCCCACGTCATGTGAGTGCCGGCCGTGCAGTGAGTGCTGCAGCTTCAGAGTACGACGCAGCGAACCGTGCACCGCCCCCGCCCCCTCCCCACCCCTCCGGCTACTCCAGGGCACTTCTGAGGTCACTAACCGGACTACCAACGTCGCCACTGGCGGTTACACTGTCTCACAGCCGCATCTAATTGAATAGACGGCGCTGAGCGGCTGCAGCAGACTGCCCATTGCAACAATGGCAATGCAGCGGCGTATGTCCGGCAGATGGGCTACTTGGATGGATTTAGATGATAAGAGGACGCCATGGAGCTGAACTAATCCCCCACCGTGACCACTGGAGACTCTGGGAATGCGGTGATGTGCTGAACAGTTTCCGCGTCTGAGTTACCACGGGCTCTGATAGAAGGCATGGTTTGTGGGCTTTGAGTGGACCCAGCTGAGCTATTTTTGGTTATTTAGGTGGTTATTTGCACACTTCAGCACACTCCAGACTCTTGTCGTACTTGTTTAGTTACCTGCAATTGAGATTGTTCACTGTGTTGTTATAACCGCTGTATGATTGTTTCTACGGCGTGGTGTGATTTACTCGCTCCGTATCATTTCGTTGGCGGTACCGTGTGAATTTCGTGTCATTGCAGGGACTTTGGACACCACCGCTCTGCGTATCGTGCCGAAAAACAAGATCAACGAACTTCCCAGTCGACGGACTAAGCCGCCTCCCCAGAACCCGATGGCCGATGCCAAAATTCGCATCAAGGTACGGACGGGGACGGATGACGGCAGAGCGGTGCCGTCTGCCGGACGAGCCTGTGGGATGACCGCGGCTCAATCAGAGAAATGGCCCGGCTCAGTTGGAAAACGCTGCTGAGACTGATTACATAATGGCTAATAAGGTTTTGTTCAACGCTTTTTATCTAAGTAATCGGAGCTGAAATATTGAAAGCATTCAAAACTGAAAGCTGGTCAAATGCTGAAATCCTAACGAGAAAAAGGTTCGTCCTATGAATGCTGACGTTATTCACGATAATTATGTGAAACTAGCTTCCAGCCGTTTCTGCACAACTTGTCTATCTTATCAAAATCCCGTAAACGTCCAGCGCTGGGTGGAACAAATTATGTCCTCGCTTCGCTAACGCATTTCTTATGAGACACTTCCAAACGTTACTGGCGCTTGTGCCAGTGTCTGACGTCATTACGGAGCGAGCGAAGCGAGCGTAGTCTTTCCTTAGATTAACGGAAATTTCTGAGTATGAGCGGCCGGCCGGCCGGCCGGCCGGCCGTGCGGACGCTTTTGCGAGGCTTATATCTCAGCAACCACTTGACCGATTTACATGCGGTAATTTTTGTAGGGTAGCTTCATTCCTTCTACCAAGTATTGGACTATTCCCGATGCATGTGGGTGACCCCTTATGCACGTGCCACGTGCAAAACGAAGAGGTGTCACTTTTGTAATTGTTGCAATATCTCGGTAACTACTTGGCCGATTGCGCTGAAAGTTGGCATGTAGGTAGGCACCCACTAGGCACTGCATATCCATGTGCCAGAATTGGCGTGCTGCTGCACGTGCGCACGTGCAGGGGTCGTTTCCAGATCTCGAGAACGGCTGGACCGATGGCGGTCAAATTTGGTACACGGTTAGGGACCAGCTAGTAGGGTGCCGTGCACAAGTCAGTTGGGACCCATTTTGCACGTGCGCACGTGCAGGGTGCCGCTCCCAGATCTCGAGAACGGCTGGGCCGATTGTGCTCAAATTTGGCACATCGCTAGAAACCGGTCAGTAGGTTGCCGTGCACAAGTCAGTTGGAGGTACCCCCTCGAAATTTCGCACGTGCAAGACTCACCCCCTCGCTCGCTCCGTTAGTCGCCCCAAGAGGCGCTATACTGGTTATTACGGAGCGAGCGAAGCGAGCGTAGTCTTTCCTTAGATTAACGGAAATTTCTGAGTATGAGCGGCCGGCCGGCCGGCCGGCCGGCCGTGCGGACGCTTTTGCGAGGCTTATATCTCAGCAACCACTTGACCGATTTACACGCGGTAATTTTTGTAGGGTAGCTTCATTCCTTCTACCAAGTATTGGACTATTCCCGATGCATGTGGGTGACCCCTTATGCACGTGCCACGTGCAAAACGAAGAGGTGTCAGTTTTGTAATTGTTGCAATATCTCGGTAACTACTTGGCCGATTGCGCTGAAAGTTGGCATGTAGGTAGGCACCCACTAGGCACTGTATATCCATGTTCCAGAGTTGGGGTGCTGCTGCACGTGCGCACGTGCAGGGGTCGTTTCCAGATCTCGAGAACGGCTGGACCGATGGCGCTCAAATTTGGTACACGGTTAGGGACCAGTTAGAAGGGTGCCGTGCACAAGTCAGTTGGGACCCGTTTTGCACGTGCGCACGTGCAGGGTGCCGCTCCCAGATCTCGAGAACGGCTGGGCCGATTGTGCTCAAATTTGGCACATCGCTAGAAACCGGTCAGTAGGGTGCCGTGCACAAGTCAGTTGGAGGTACCCCCTCGAAATTTCGCACGTGCTAGACTCACCCCCTCGCTCGCTCCGTTGGTCGCCCCAAAAGGCGCTATACTGGTTTACGTTTCTGCAGGTATACCTCCCGCGGAACCAGCTCTCAGCGATGAGGGTTTCACCGAAAACGCCGCTCGCTGAGATTCTGGATCAGATCTGCAAGGACAAAAACCTGGACGTCTCCCGCTACGAGCTGCGCCACCCCGGTGAGTGAGGCGCCCGTGCTGCCACCTATCGGGACGGCGGGTAACTTGTAACAGCTTGGAGACGCCGACTCTGCACAAGAGCGTAACTGTCGGCTCTGGAAAGGTGCTGGCGTGGATGAGTGATTCCCATATTTCCAGAAGGCAGGATGTTTCGCATCGGAATGGAATACAGCCACCTTCGGGTGGGATATGTTGCCATTTCGTGACATTTAAAAACAGACTTAGATGTCGCCATCCAGATTCCATGGTTAGAGACAAGGAAGCACGAGAACGCAAACTGGCTAACTGGGACGCAGGATAACAATTTTTTATCTAAGCTCTTCTGCTAGACAGATATCTCCAGCGCTTATAGTTCCTGAGTCAGTTGCGCACCCATTTTGGTGTTTTACCATCCGTGTGCCTATTACTCGGAGTCTCGGACATCGTTAGCTGAATGCTAAGATTCGACGTCAAATCGCGACCTCGGATTATTGGGTCACTCACACTGCTGATCACAATGTGAAATCGCGATTGAAAGGCAAGTCGAAATCACCCTATCACTTTTAGGATAATGCTGCCCACTTTCAAGTGCTTAGTCAATGCTGACTGTGATATTCATACGCACAAACAATTATGCGATTATAGGTCTCCGTGATAACGTAACTCTGATAGCTGATGATAGTGGGCTGCATTTCCTCCATATTCCCTGAATCTGTGAGCAAGCCGCCACTGACAGCAGGCACGTGAGTGCTATCCTCTGAGGGGGGAGGGGACGGTCTCCGTCACCGTATCTGACCTCTATGTGCGCCACATTCCTGTGCTGATGTGAGGACGTGTCCCGCCGGCCGGGTGGGACAACGATAAGATAGCACAGCTCGAGCCGACGTGTGACTCCGTAAGGATAGTCTGAAGGACGCTCTAAAGTCAGCGTTATATGCGGCAGTGGTGAGGGAGCTAACCTAGAGTAACCCAACTAGAGAGCGTCGGCCTTTTTGAGTCAACAGCTGGTGGGTGAGGGTGTGTCTACACTGTCCTTACGGTTATCAAGGTGATGTTTGCACAAGGATGCAAACGCTTGTCTGTAGTATTTGACGAGGAATGTTGCATATGTTTGCGTTACCAACGCAGGATCGAGTACCGACGGAGCTCAATTGCATAAAGTTGACCCTCTTGAGATAAGTGGACAGTTTAATTAAATGTCCGTGATTTCGCTTGTCGTGGTTGAGTTTGTTTCGCTGGATTTAGGATTTGGATGCTGGACTTTGAGAGCGACAATGGGGGACACTCGATATAATTCGCCGATAGCTTCGCTTGCAATGGCTTCGGACAAATGAATGCCGTATTTATGCTGGCAGTTCGTATCCCTCTTCCTTGAACTCCTCCCACATTACACGGAGGAGACAACTGGAGGGCGTCAGCGCGTCCCACCGTGCGTGCGGCAGCGAGGCGACATTGCGAGGGGAGGGAGGGAGGAGGCGTGTGTCCCCCCATCCTGTGTCGGACTCCTCCCTCCACTTTCACTCTCGCCGCCGCCTCCTGCCACTGAACCGCGGATCCGCCGGTTGTGCCGAGTTTCCACTTAATTGGCCGTGTCCTTGTGTTTAATGTAGAACTCTGTGTCGCTACGATCCTTCGAGTGAGCATTTCTGCTGGTATGTCTGTTCCGTAGCCTGCCTTTATTTATACTAGCCCTGTATTTTACTCGAGTTGTGACTCCGTTAGGTGACTAATGAATAACGTGCACGATTTTACGTATATTTTATAAATAAAACCTATACCCAACTCACACACTGCCCACTGGGTGGCTGGGTGTGCTACGTTTACATGATCGGTCACCTCTACCTATTCGTCTGTCCACCCGCGCCGCCTCACGGAAAAAGTCTGTACCTGCGCGTGCCGTTGCTCCGCGGGACACCGGCGGTGAGCGGCGGCCTCCTCCGCTGTGTGGTAGTGCCCGAGCCGGCTGCCCCGGGACTTATAGTTAGAACTGGCGCTTCTATGGACGGAAGGGGTGACTTCTAACTAGTGACGACTTACGGCTGACCCTGTACGGCTGGCTCTTAACGGCTGACTCCTTACGGCTGCACGGCAGGGCGTATTTTAACATGTTAACTGGGTCGGCAATTGCCGACCCAGTCACGGAGAATGCCGACCCAGTGACAGCCGTTGGCCGACCCAGTTGCCGCCCCCTCTAGGATGCAGCACGCACATGCAGGCTAGGTGCCGTCATTCATAGTGAGGCTGCTGCCCTCCGAAATGATAATGCCGCCTCTTAAAGTGAAGCAGCCGTCTAAAGAAAGTGATGATCCCACAACTCAATGTGACAGTGCCGCCCCTAAATCTGTTAGTAGTCCCACTCAATGTAATGGTGCCGCCCTTCTAAGCATCTGTGGAGCCCCTCAATGTGATGATACCGCCCCTCAAGAAGATGATGCCGCCCCTTTCAGTATCGGTGGCGCCCCTCAATGTGATGGTGCCGCCCTCAAAGTGCCGGTGGCGCCCCTGAATGTGATGGTGCTGCCCGCCAACGAGTCGATGGCGCCCCTCAAAATGATGCTGCCGCCCCCTAAAGTGTTGGCGCCGCCCCTTATAGTGTCAGTGACGCCCTTCGAAGTGTCGGAGGAACCCACCAATATAATGGTGCCGCCCCTCTAGATATCCACATAGCCCCTCATTGTGATGGAGCCGCCCCTCAAGCAGATGATGCCGCCCCTGAATGTGATGGTGCTGCCCGCCAACGAGTTGGTGGCGCCCCTCAAAATGATGCTGCCGCCCCTTAAAGTGTTAGTGCCGCCCCTTATAGTGTCAGTGACGCCCTTCGAAGTGTCAGAGGAACCCACCAATATAATGGTGCCGCCCCTCTAGGTATCCACATAGCCCCTCATTGTGATGGAGCTGCCCCTCAAGCAGATAATGCCGCCCCTCAAGAAGATGATGCCGCCCCTTTCAGTATCGGTGGCGCCCCTCAATGTGATGGTGCCTCCCTCAAAGTGCCAGTGGCGCCCCTAAATGTGATGGTGTCTCCTGTCAACGAGTCGGTGGCACCCCTCAAAATGATGCTGCCGCCCCTAAAAGTGCTGGTGCCGCCCCTTACAGTGTCAGTGGCGCCCTTCAAAGTTTTGGAGGAACTCATCAATACAATGTTGCCGCCCTCTAACTTTCTGTAGCGCCCCTCCATATACATAATGGTGCCGCTTCTCAAACCATCCGTGGCGCCCCTCAAAGTGATGGTGCCGCCCCTTACAGTGTCGGTGGTGTCTCCTCAAAAGTCAAGGTGCCGCCTCTCAAAGAAATGCTGGTGTCCCTCGAAGTGTCGGAGGCGCTCCTCAATGTCATGTTGCCGCCCCTCAAACCTTCCGTAACGCCCCTCCACGTCATGGTGCCGCCCCCCAATGTGCTCACGGCGCCCATATGTGATAGAAACGCCGGTCAAAGTGCTCCTGGCAGTGTCGGTGGCGCCCCTTATAGTGTCGGTGGCGTCCCGAACAGTATCGGTGGTGGCCCTCAAAGTGATGATGTCACCCTCAAACAAACGGTGGCGCCCTTCGAAGTATCGGAGTCCCTAAATATCATACCTATTGCCGCCCATTAACCCGCGCCTCACTGGGGTCTGTGTATAACACGCCCTACTGGGGGGGGGGGGGCTATTCATAGCCCCCCCTCCTAACTCCGAAACTACTGGGCCGATCGTCAAAATTCAAACGGCGTCTGATAGCCCCGGAAAACTGTCGAGCAAAACCTAATTTCATTGACCTCGAGGTCACCGATGACGTCACAGGTCAGGTCAAAGTAAAAATTATTAGTACTTTGGCTTGTTCACATTTTGGGCTCTGGCCGCCGTCTAACAAGTCAGATCAGGCTCATTTTTGGTTTCCACACTCGTGAACAGATGCTCTAGATACCTTGAGGGTACCAAACTTGTACTTTGATTTTCAGGTCAGGGTCAGGTCATCACAGGTCACGAAAATATTATATCATGCATCGGTCTCGTGACACATGTTTTATGGTCCATTTAGGCCATAGATTTCGAATTTGATGTCGTCTGTGTCATTCGAGGTCATTTTGAGTCGAATTTAGCTTAGGTCAGGTCACTTTCAGGTCAAAAAAGGTCAAATTTTGAAGTTGAAATTTTTCAACAAAAAAGGTGTCTATTGGATGCAGTTTGAGCTCAGGAACACGATAGTGCCATTTATATTGGTGTACGATGCCAAATACGTACTGAAAAATTGATTTAAAAAATTAATAATTGTGAATTTTTTGCAATAATGCGTATAACTTGGCCATTTTTGAAGATATTTTGCTAAAACTTGCTAGAGTTAGTCATAATCATGCGTTCTGTCACATATATTCCGGTTTTTTCGAAAAGTCAAAAACTTTTTGAAAAAATATAAAAATATAAATTTTGAATATTATTATATAAACTTTTCGAAATTTTCAAAATTTTGAAAATTCGAGATGGCAGTTTGATAGCGCGGTCAATCTTGAGTCCTTTCATGCAAAAAAATTGGATCTAGCTTAAAAACTGAGCTCTTGGGAGCGATTGCCGTGGTTCAATGTTTTGCGTCGAAATCGGACGAACATGACGTCACTCTGACGTCATTTCCGGCCGACCTATGGTAGCTACGAAGTTCAAATTTTGACACAAGGTGTCAAATTGATGCAGCCGAAGGTACTGAAAGTTTGGCGTCGATCTGTCAAGCGGTTTGGAAGTTATTGCAGAAAAACGGGAGGGGGGCTATAAATAGCCCCCCCCCAGTGGGGCGCGGGTTAACGATCTGTAGCACCCCTCCATATGATGGAGCCGCCCCTTAAAGTATCCATTGCGGTCCTTAAAGTTACAGTGCCGCCCCTTACAATGTGGGTGGCGTCCTCAAAATAAAAGTGATGTTGCCCCCCCCCCCCCCGAGTAATGTTGGCGTCTCTTTCTTCTTAAAGTATCGGAGGCGCTCCTCATTGTCATTTTGCCCCACATCACTGCTCACATGGCGCCCTTCAATGTAATGGTGCCACCCCGCAACGCT